CCTCCAGACCGACGCGTGCTTGAACGCTCCCGTCGCCAGGGCTGGATCCCAGCTGTTGCCCTCGGTCACAGCCGAGAGGTGGTCCGAGACCAATTCAGCGCCAGGGGGGACCACCTTCAAAGCTTCCAAGAGGGCCTGCCGTTCGGCTCGCGGCACCGTCTGGCACCGTCCCGCGAGGCCCCCATACAGGGCCCTGATCGGCCATCCACGGGCCGACATCTCGACAACCGCCCAGCCGCAGCGGGCCATCTCGGGGACTCCGTTGGCGTGGCCAGAGCCGTCGGTGTAGACCCGTTTTCCCCAAGGAAGGTGGGTGGCCCCCCCAAGACAAAACAGGCAGCACGCTCGGGACTGGCTCCAAAACCACAGGCTGAAACGGCAAACCGTAAACCAACTCAACCGAATCGAAGTCGGGGGGGATTCCTCGGGCCGAGTCCTTGAGCAGCTGCCTTCGCTTGAAACTTTCCTCTGGCAATGCGGGCCCTGCCTCTGGGGCATCACCCTGGCGCCAGAGCTCCTCACATTCGTACCAGTGATGGCCGAACGTGCCTATTTGCTGCTTGCAAAACTGACAAAGGTTCGAATCGGCCAATCCACGACTAAACTTTCGAGCTGGCGGCCAGAGTCCCCCTGCTAGCAAGGCCTTCAAGGTCGCGCGCCTCTTAGGTTCCCTCACAGAGTTCACCGCGACCCGCAGCGCACGACCCCAAACGACCTCCTCGCCAGAAGCTTCGGGGATGGCCGACACAAGCTGAATCATCTGTGCTCTGTTAATACCCTCGATGAGCTGGCGTTTTAAATCCCAGGGCGAAACGTGGCAAAGCGACAAAACAACTCCCCGGTCGGTCCGGGTATGGGTCGGTCCCACAAGGGCCCATCCCACGCGCAACAGGCTCAAAAAGACTGCTCCCACGGGCCCTCGAACATCTCTCCAGAGCGGTCTGTTGGCTAGCCGTGAGGCCGCCGCGTTCCACGCATGCCAAAGATCTACATCACTAGCACGATGGTCCCAGATCCAGCAGCAGCATCGAAAAACAAGAGGCACTGTAGCATCGACTAATGGGTCATAGTTCTCGTCCCGATGCGTACTGAGAAAAGCCGTGACGTGCATGCGGCCTCTAGCTCCTGCAAGCTCGGCCGCCACTGCACGCAGGCTCCTGGGGACCTGATCCGAGACCCCAGACACGGCGGCCCCGTGGGCCCCACAGGGCATGAGCCCAGCCCGCCAGAGCATGGCCACCTTAGGCCCCGCGGCTTTCTTCAGGACCCGAAGTTTGGCCCGACGCCCCTGGAGCTTGGCGACCCTGGCTTTTTCAACTTTGCGAATTACACGCCTACCATACAAATCATGGCCCAAGTTGCGAAGATGAGCCTTGCTGTGAAACCCTATCATGCGAGCCGACAGCCGAACTTCTTTTTCTGCCGCAGTCGTACTCGCGAGGAACCCAGACTTGTTTGGCTGCAAAAGGAGACCAATCGGGGCTAGAAGGTGGCACAGCTCTCGCGTCGCAACAAAGACCAACTCTCCTCCTTTGGCGGTCTCGCCACACCATTGAAAGGATATATCATCCATGAGGGCTCTCGGCTTAATAGACGGATACCTAGCGACAATCTTTTTGACAGGGCCCAGCAGCACTGCAAGCATGTTGGCGCAGGCGTGAGCACAGCCTGCTAAAATGCCCTGAAAAGAAACGTAACTGTCGCTCAAACCCCCGTACGCGTCGATCCTAATGGGCGCCACAAAGCTTTGAATCAACATCCAACCTAATCGAAGGGGGAAACCCACCCTCCGATAAACGTCACAGAGAGCCGAAAGCTGGATCATT